CAGCCCAGGGGGTGTGCATGTGAGGAGCTGTGGGAGGAAGCTGTGCTGTTGGAGAGGCTGAGTAGTACACACCATATCAGGCACAAGGAAGGAGACCCTGAGGTAAGGGTGAAGTGGAGCTTGAGGAAGTGAGGGCTGCTGTGGGGGAAGTAGCCCAGGGAATTGTACATGTCATGTTTCTAAAAGGTCAGCTACTGTAGCTGATACTATTAGGGTCCCTGGGCTGGAGCAGCGGGTGGGCCTGGGCTCCCCCCCTTTGCACCCTGATTAATCACTGAGACTGGGAGACAACAGAGACTGTGCAAGGAAGGATAGCTTCTCCTCACCTCCATTGCTGGCTTATGATGAAAATGGCTCTGTAGACTGTGACCCTTGTCTCTAGAGAGAGAAGGGTTATGTGGAGGGTCAAAGTGAGCCTCTGAGGCTAGTGAAATCTGCCAGGAAATGCAGGACCCATGGATGCAATGACAGAGCTTTGTCACAGTATGGATAATATTTAGGGAATAATGTATACTGAAAGATTGCTTTATGAACTTGGAGTAGAAACTGGTCTCCAGGAGGTTATGTGTCTCAATGGTCACCCACTCAAGCAAGAGGGAGCTGTCACCCCTTCCTAGTCTGCTGCAGTGGTAACGCAAAGTTCTATTGTCTACCCTTGCCATAGTCAATGGAAAACTGTCTGAGACAATCAAAACCACTTGAAGGTAGAAAAGAAACTCTGCAACAAGGCCAGAGTTTGTCCTCCTGACCCTGAATAGAAACAAGGGGCTGTTTTCAGAATAACCGAACATAAAGGAAGGCACTCTGGATCCATTCACTGAGGAAAACCGTGGCAGAGATGGGTGCTTTCATGAATGCTTGAATCCTGATTATTGAGAAACCAGCCAGCTTTACAACAATTGGGGGAAAAGTCTATTCGATTGGAAAGGTGACAACTGATAAATGTAGATTCAGGTTCACGTTTTATGATTTTGTTTTGTAGTGTAACCACTTTTTTCCACCACTCTTGCTTGATTCTGGTCAAACCTTTATTCTTTCTTAAATAAAAACAACTTCTGTTTTGTTGTAAGTGCTCACAAGTTCTGGGTGATTTACAGGAGCGGTGGCTTAAGGTAAAACTAGTAAACTGGGGCACAGTGCTCTGTTGGTGGCAGAGGATCTGGAATTCTTGTGAGCAGCCAGTGCAAGGCGTTAGATATCAGAGGGGAACAATTCAAAGGGATTTGGGGATGGGGTGCACCTATTGTTAACCTGCAAGGTGAAGGAAGGGCTAGCATAAGCCCAGAGGGGAGTGCTTGAAGCGGATGTAGGGCTGGCAGTATAAGGGAGCTGATGCCCAATTACCACAAGAGAGACTCCCTCTCACTGGAGGCAGAGGGTAACAAGGGGACTCACTGTCATGGGTACCCCAAGGAGGGACAAGGTTGTGTCAGTACATAGAATATTCCCTGTTCCAAACAGCATCATGAATGAGAAGAACTAGGCAATTATTCCTAATGACTACATCCAAAGTCTGGGGAGGCAACCTGAGACTGTGGGGGGCAACTGTTCCCCTTGCCCAAAAACAAATGACACCCTGTCTGGTAGGAATGTATTTCTGCAACTTTTCTCTGGAGATGCCAGAGGGACAATCTGGTGCCTGAGTTTATGGGTCTGCTTCTCACCTTCTGCCAATATTTATTTAACATAGATGATTGGTTTCATACTGAAAACGGCATACACCATTTGCTTTGCTTATAAACTTTGAGATGTCACAGTAAATTAACCCTCTAAGTAATGTGATATTATCTAAACTGAAAGTCGTCTTCTGCCAACAGGAAAATTACTTCTGCTAGAGGGCAGCCACCTGTGCATTTAAATCCTGGCTTGGTAGGGTTTGACTGGGCTTCAAAATGCATTCCAAAACCTCATGCTTTTTGGGCTTTTTATTTTAACCACATTTTGTAAAAATCACTGTTGCCTCTGACAAGGGAGTATAGCAAAGATGCAACAGGCATCTGAACCACTTAGCTAAGGTGACAATTTTAATGTGGAATGCAACCCCCTTCCCTCCCCCCCATTGTGAAAAGATTTTGTGTGCATTTGCGGAGAGGAAACCTGAATCATAGCTCAGCTGGGGGATGGAAGAAGTGGAAGAAGAGTCAAGGAGCTCAAAGGGAGGAAAGAAATTAAAATTTGCACCAAGATATTTCTATTCCATTTATTCCATAGTAGTTAGCCGTGTGCCAAGGTTGTGCACCTTCAGTGCGCAGTGCATACATTTGTTTCACTGAGGAGAGAATCAATAATAGGGTAGAGTGAAAATATGCCTGGTATCCACCACATGCCAGAAGGGCACACGTACAGAAACGTAATTTCCAGAAGTAGTGCCTTCAGCGTGAGGTACCTGTGGAAATGGCATTGAAATGCAGTGTGGGATATGTCATGTCCTCCATGAGGAAACAGTAGTACTATGTCTGCAGGACAGTGGGCTGGCCTGGGAATATTTCCTGCAGTAGCCAGGACATCTGGGGCTCTGCCTATATGGGCGCTTTTAAAGAGACAGCTTCATATTGACTGACACTTGAAAAACATTAACTTTTCAACTAAAAGGAATATAGATGATTGATAATTTTTTCTGTTCCCTTATTAAGTTTGTAGAAGATCTCATCCTTCATCACCAGTTTGCTTTGCTTCCTGCCTGCCATTGTCATATTGTCACAAACTCGTATGTAAGACGTCACAGTCTGTGACGTCATATAGTCAGCATTATGACCTCAATGAATAGTTAAGTGAGAGGAGAAAGGATGGGCTAGATGGAAGATACTCTTTTAAGACACAAATATCTTTTGTAGCTGTCAAAATATAAAAGGAAAATTGGGGTGTTTACATAGGAACTTTCATCCTAGGATCTCAGGGCACCTTACAAGCACTAGCTAATTCTCAGGTAGGAATGAGGGACAGGAATCAGTACTTTTGGGTTCTTGTCCTAGCTCTGTACTGACTCTGTGTGACCTCAGGCAAGTCACTTAGCTGCTGAGTGCCTCAGTTTACTCCTCTGTAGAATGTTTACAGTAATACTTTTCTCTAGCTCACAGGTATTCTGAGAATTAATTAATGTTTGCAAAGTGCTATGAGCTCCACAGATAAAATGTGCAAAAGAAGATCAAATTACTATAATTATCTCTATTTACATAAAGCTATTAAAATGGGAAAGTAGATAGCAACCAATATAAATCAAAATTTATGACATGTAAAAAATGACAAGGGAAGCTAAAGACAACAGGGAAAAATCCATGGCTGGCAAGGCTAAGGTTAATAAGAAGGAATTTCTTAAGTATATTAGAAACAAAAAAAATCCTAGCAATTGCATAGACATTACTAGATGGAGATGGTAACATTGTTAATAATAATGCAGAAAAGACAGAAGTATTTGTAGATATTTCTGTGGTATATTTGTAAAGAAGCAGGAGAAGGTTATTGTATCACGTGAGGATGATCAAGTACTTTCCAGTTCATTAGTAAACAAGGAAGATGTTAAACAACATCTACTAGGGAATGGGATAAAAATCTCACAATGCTCTGGTTTAACTGGTGCAATGTGGGAACCCTGAATTGGTTTCCTATTTGTTGGAAAAGTAATATAGAAGCATTCAACAATCTAAAAGATTTGAAATTTCCTTCTTGCACATTTGTAATATTTTTTTACTTCACTTCTGCTGATTGTATATGTCCTTCAAAAGAATATAGAGCTTCAGTACTTTGTTATCATTATTCTAATTTACAGTCAAAATAATGTTGGTCATTTAATACACAAAGCCGTGAAACCTAGAGGGCTAGAATGAGTTTGCCCATTAGCTTGCATGTTTCCTGCTGCTGTAATCATGATCTATTGTGTTTTAGGTGTGCATGACACTTCACAGATGAATAAAAGTACGTTGTCCCTTCCCCAGGAGGCTTACAATATAGCCTACATCAACACCCCTATAAGATGTCAAGGCCTTTAAGAGCAGGGAAGGAAGTGAGGTGGTTCAGACACAGTATACAATTGATAGAGAAGGCAGTTCTTAGGGGAGCATGGGTCACATACTGGCAGTATCCAAAATCTAGGGATAAGTAGCATGTCACTGAAAGGCCCCACTGAAGTAGTGTTTTAAGGAGGGATGTGAATGAAGGTGCGGGATGAGCATATGAGAAGAGGAAGGCTGTTCTGGGACTAGGGGACAAGGCAGGAGAAGGCATGAAACTGAGGATGGCAGAAGGGTGTATTTGTAATGGTTGTGAGGGGGGACTGGCTATGGCCAGAGCAAAGGCAGTGGAGGGGAATGAAGAGAAAAGGAAAGCAGAGATGCAGGCTGGGGAGGAGTGGTGCTGAAGTTTGCATTTAATGCAGAAGGTGAAGGAAGCTAGGGGGGTGGGGGTGGAGATATAGATATGGTTACAGCAATGGAGGAGAGAGAGGACATGTTTGCTGGGCATTTGGAACTGAGGCAAGATAAGCAGGGAGGCCAGAGAGCCACTGTTTGCTGGGGCTCAGGTGGATACATTCAAGGCCTGGATAAGTGCTTCAGCAGTTGGGAAGGGCATGGAACGGCAGACTGTCACAATCTTGGGAAGGAATGATTGGCTGGAGGTAGCTGCAGTCCAAATTCTCTCCCTCACTGCTGAAACAGCTGACAAGTTGATTTGGTCCAAATGCAGACTTTGTAAAAATGGCTTCAAAATAACCTAATGGTGGTAGGAATGATTTAATCATTAAAGAAACAGTCAAGGTGATAAGAAAAGGAGTACTTGTGGCACCGTATGCATCTGATGAAGTGAGCTGTAGCTCACGAAAACTCATGCTCAAATAAATTGATTAGTCTCTAAGGTGCCACAAGTACTCCTTTTCTTTTTGCAAAGACAGACTAACATGGCTGTTACTCTGAAACCAGTCAAGGTGATGAGAAGCAGGAAGTGTCACTGATCAGTCTAGCTGCATGACACTCAGAAAGTAAACAAACAGCCGGAGGATAAGCATGTTGGATTTTTAAAATGCTTCATTTTATTGCTAATATGAGCCACAACATTTTAAAAGCTGTGGCCCAGATATTCACCTGGTGTAGATCAGCATACCTCTGATTTACACCAGCCAAGAATCTGACCCACTGAAACCAAATCCTTTTTTGAATTACACTGGTGACATCACTGTGATAGGTCACTTAGAAAAACAGACAGATCCATGGCACTTTACCAGCATCAAAGAGATTGCACAAGTGTAACCAAGGGCAGAATTTGATCCACTATTATCAGGATAATGTCCCCTTACAATTAGTGTAGATTTTGGTTTAGCTTTGGCAATACTGGCAGTGGAGAATGGAAACAGAACATTCTCTGACATCCTGAGGCATCAGTCTGGTGATCTTCAGGGAGGATTCAAACCAGGTCCCTTCTGTCACAGAATTTCAAACACCCTGTGGGGATTAATAAAGCTCAAGTTCACACTTCATATTCACACTGTAGGATTCTTTTACAATGACATTGTTTAAAGTAAAAGCTCACTAATATTGAACATATTTTGTTACATGTAAATTCATCCCTATATTCAGTTTTTGTACAGTATAGTTTAGTGTCCCTTATGGACTAATGCATATGTCTGTACATAATCTATCATTTTGCACCTACATCTTGATGAGGAATTACATTTTCATTTATCAATAGCCAGCCCCCCATTGGCCTCCCCCGAATGTAAATACTTCAGCTCAGTTCCGCATGAGTTTGTAATGTCAGAGCGGCATCTCCATAATAAAGATTTGGGTGGCTGCAAACTTGTCCATTTATACATACTAAAGACATAATTTTCTGAGGTCCTGAGTCCTCACAACTTCATTTGAAATCAGTGGGAGCTGCAGGTGCCCAGCACCTCTGAAAAAAACCAACTCCTAAACATAGTCATTAGGCTTTGGGCCATTTCATTTCAAGTTGCAAGTGTAGTCCTCAACTGGACACATCAGTGCTAATCTGCCTAGCAATTTTGTGATGTAGACAAAAATCAGATAAGGTATAACATGAGCAATTACCATTGATTTAATTTCTTGTGATGTAATCTACGTGATCTCCCAAACTCAAACTGGTAGGGCAGCCTGATATTACCCCACTGGGCCCCTTCTACTCCCCCAAGCATTAAAACTTCTAGTACCATATACTCACTCTATTTCTACGCCTTCCTCTTCCGTTAGGAGCTCAGCCTTTTGCAGTTTGCGCCTGCAGGCACGCTCCTCGCTGCTACCAACACTGGAACTCTCCTCCGAGCTTTTGGAAGTTAAATACTTGATCGCCACCGCATCCTTCTCGTTCATTTGCAAGCAGAGGCAGTAGGATTCGCTCACCTTTAATGAGTTTCCCCACATGCTTTGGCACATATCAGTCCCATTTGCATACACCTAGATGTCAAACAAAACAGATTAAATTAAAAAAACACCTCACCCATCAAAAACACTTGGGCCTGGTTTGCTGTTGCCCTTAGTCCTTTCTACCGGCGTAAAGAGGATCTAAAACATTGCCAAATCAGACTGGTAGTGTGTGAGACCCACTTACCACTGCTCCAAACCACTTTGAAAGGTGCAGGGCAAAGGAGAATATAGCCCCTTATTTCCTTAGTTGTTTTCACATGCTAGGTGCCATAGATGAAAGCCAGTGTGTGTGTGTGGTCAACTTAACCCCATACAGCAAATAATGTGCCGGGACATTCTGACATGTACTTGTTTTAGTGAGCTTTGTATCAGACAGAGTTCTGGAAGCTGAAATCATGTATTTCTCCACGGAACAGTGCAGTCTAACAGATTTGTGGCTATCTAGAATTTCACTGTTGTCATTGTATGTACATCATGGCCATTCAGGACTCCACACAGAGAGAGTACAGGTGGACCTCAGAACAGACACCCACTGCTTGTAGGAGCTCCAAGGGAAGGCAGAGAGCCGCAACATCACCTGCCCTCCCTCAAAGTGAGTCCCCCCTCCAGTGCAAGGGGACGTGTCCAGTTCAGGAAAATGGCAGGTCCTTGTACCAGTTTAAAGTGAATCTGTCCTATATCTTGTTTTATGCCAAAATCTTTTTTGGAAGTACTACCTACAGTGACCTTTATGACCACACTGCAAATAAACCTCTTGGCTGTTTTGTTTATGTCATGGTAACCTGCTGCCCTCCTGGCCTGGATTCAAATAAACATTCATATCTTATTGGCTGGAGAAGCTAAGAACAGGTCAGCAGAGTTGGCAGGTCATGGACTTTAGCGAAGCCATGAATAGGTCATTAATTCTATCTTTGTTTGCACTTTGTCCTCCACATATTTGCTGTTGATTTGCAATATCTTCTGATTAAATTATTGCAAAAAAGACTTAGATACCCTGCAAAATAAAGCTGATAAAGTACTTGGCATTGCATGATGGCAGATGGAGCAAGCTTGGGAGTAAGAAGCAGGATGTATTCTTTAGTGATTGAAGGACTACTGGGTTCTGTTTCTGACTTTGTCACTGACTCACTCTGCAACCTTGGTCTAGTCACTTAATTTGTATCTGCATCCCTTTGTTAGTGGGAAATGGGTATAATACATATCCCAACAGGGGTGTTGTCAGACTAACTCAGTGTTTGTAAAGCACTTTGAGATCCCTTTGAGATCTGACATTACTATAAATATTCAAAGTATTGTATGGTCTATTCTTCTCGTCATTATGCAGACACCCTCCTCTACACACTGTTGTTGCGAATGGAAGTTGTAAGTGTGCAGTGAGTGAAGTGGAACCCTTTCACACAAGCATCAGTTCCAATCAACATGCTGAGTTTCCAGTAGTGTTGCCGATTCTGCTGAGTGCAACAGCTTTTTGAGTTACCATTGTCACCCATGTGTGTCCATATCATAAAGAGAGTCTCTTCCCAGAGATGCATCCGATGAAGTGAGCTGTAGTTCATGAAAGCTTATGCTCAAATAAATTGGTTTGTCTCTAAGGTGCCACAAGTACGCCTTTTCTTTTTGCGAATGCAGACTAACACGGCTGCTACTCTGAAATCTTCCCAGATGATTCGCCCTGGGCCAGTGACTCATTTCTCTGTGGCTCAGGGATCATGGGATGAAAGGTGCTATAACTGCAAAGTATTGATGATTGTTATTTTTAGGCTAGATCCCCAGGCCTAGTTATGTGGGAGCAGGGGTGGGGACATCATGTCAGGGAGTTGCACCTTCCCCCCCATTTCCCAGAGTAGTCTCTTTCCTTGCTCGGGGGCGGGGGTGGGGAGATCTTGGTGTATACTATGCTTATGATATGCAGGTGGTCAGACTAGATTAGTTCGAAACAGTCTCTTCTGACCTTATGATCTATCATGTGTGAATAATATGGAGTCCATTCCAAATAGCCCTCAAAATTTCTGCACTGCAATGTAGATTTTAAAACTATAACTGAATGGCAGGGAGCTGGCTTAATCTAAGCTGCAGTTGCTGGAGGTGCTATGCCTGTGGAGTGCGAAGGCAGGCAGCACGCCACTGACTTTCACCTCCACAAGAGGCCACAAGATGTGCAAGGGGCTCTGCATCCTTTTTTCCCCCGCACACCCAGAGCAGAAAAATCTAGCCCTCTGGCTGTACCGTCTCTATTTCTGTCCCTTTCAGTGGCTTATTCCTTCAAGTCCTGGCTATTTCCTTGTGTCCTTCTGGTCAATTCAGGAGCAAATAAAATCTATAAATATGCATTTCTTTATTCCCTTATGTAAGGGACATTTCCAGATTGAGCCCTGGTGTCCAACAGACTCCAAATCACTCACTCATACACGCTAGGTTAATCTTATGCAATTCACTTAATTCTGATCTTGCTGCTATGACTACAGGACATTGAGATCACTACAATGCACAAGCACTGTCCAGAATCGACAAAGCATACCAGCCCTCAAACTGGGGCATAGGCTTTTCATTTCCCCATGCCTCAGGCCGCATTCTACTTGTGGTCTTTGCTCTAAGTTCCTTTTGGTGAGTGCTCTGCATGCAGAACAATGATACAATGCGGCTCATAAATTTTAAGATAGCATGTGTAAAACTGGCTCGGGTCCATTGTACATTCTTGATATGCAACATTAGTTCCAAATACTCCTTCCAGCCATTCTCATGTCAAATGCATGGCTGTTGATTGCTTCACCATATGGGTTAAAAGCACTTGAGGAAATAAAGCATCTGTCCGCAATGCACTGACATTCGAGAACTCTTTGTGCCTTTTGGATATCAGCAACTTCCCTTCCAGAAGCTCACTCCAAGCGCAAGCAAAGTCTGACTTTTTCAGCATTTCATTTTAACCCTGAAACATGTTTTTTTTAATTGTTTGGACAGGGCTTTGAGGTGTTTTGGCTATTGCCATGTAAACAGGCAGAATACTATTAATTTGAATAATGTACTGCAGGGGTTCTCAAACTTCATTGCATCGCAACCCCCTTCTGACAACAAAAATTACTACAGGATCCCAGCAGGGGGGACCAAAGCCCAACTGCCCCAGGCTTGGGGGGTCCAAGCCCAAGGGCTTCAGCCCCAGACAGGGGGTCTGTAACCTGAGCCCTGCCACCCAGGCTGAAGCCCTCAGGCTTGGGCTTTGGCCCTGGGCCCCAGCAAGTCTAAGCCAGCGACCCACTTTGGGGTCCCGACCCACAGTTTGAGAACCACAGATGTACTGTGTTACTGTGCTTTGATAACAGGAGAGAGAAATGATGTGATAATTCTAGCTGGCAGAGGTTGTTGTTAAACATAACAGACCTTGTGCAGTCATTGACATCTGTAAAAAACAGGTGTAAAACATAATGATGGTGGTAGGATAGCATCATACACCCCTTTTCTGCGGTCGATGATCACAGAAGGTCAAGGCCATGGATAATCAGGCCTTTGTACATTTGAACTGAGTGTATTTTTTGTACAATGTTGTACATTTCCTCTCCTCAACTCCTCCCATGTGTATATTGTTTGTATAACTCAAATGTGTCTTCAAATCTTTCAGTTAGTTAGATTAATTGTGTTCTATAACCAAAAGCCTGTATATCCATTATCATACATGTTTCTTGCCATTTAATTAAAATTGCAATAAAATTGATTCTAAAAATAATTAACACGCACACAAGCTCTCTCACCAACAGAAGTTGGTCCAAAAAAAAATATATTACTCACGCACTTTCTCCCAATAATATTTTTGTAGCTTTTAGCTTCAAATGAAATGATTATTGCCATGGAAATGAATGTGGAGTAGCAGAGAGCTTGCTTTGATGAAACCTCTTCTTTACTCTCTTTCTAATCATCATGAGCAGTATTTGGTGATAACCATGGCCAGCAAGGGGCGTGGCTAGGTGTTTAACTTAAGAACTGCAGTGTCTGGTTAGAGTTGATAAGACTTCTGGATTTGCTGCCTGGTCTTTCCTGGATGATGGATATATTTTCTTTAAAAAATAACTACCAGTGAATTTTTAGCGATGGTAAAAAGTGAGAGAAGGTTTCCGCCTATCTCCAGAACAGGCACAGAATGAGCAGGGACCAGCTTCAGCTATCGGAAGGGCACTCAGAGCCAATTTTCTGAGGTGCTGTTTTCCATCTTTGCTTCAACCAGAGCTGTGTGGATCCTCAGCACGTCTGAAAGTCAAGCCCTTAGTCGCCACAGTCCATTCATTCTCAGGCTGTTCTGCTGAGACTGCCAGTTGTGGTGGGTTTTGTAATGCAGACACTGATCCCACCGTCTGTGGCCTGGGACTAGCCTCGCCTCTCACAGAGGCTATTGAGCAGCCTTCAGGTGGCAACTGCAGTCATTCGCGACCAACCGATTCTACCTTCAAGCCAGTGACTTGGAGGCAAACAGCTTTGCAAGCCAAGGACCGGTCTTCATCAATGAATTTTCAGTTCAGTCCCCATCCTCTGCCCTTAGGGAACCCTGCTGTGTGAGCAGTTCTAACAGGCTCATTTAAACTAAATCTTTGTTAATATTAAAAATGCAGTTATTACAGTACCACACTACACAACTTTCACCTGATTCAAAGGCCACTGAAGTATGTGGAAAACCCCCCATTTACTTCAATTAACTTTGGATCAGGCCCCAGACAATTTCCTCAGCGTCCCCATTTGAGCCTTCATTTTACACTCTTGCTCAGAAGGTTAGGCACCACAGCCATCAGACTTTTATCAGAAAGACTGGGTGAGCTCTTATAAAGTCTGTCAGTGCTGCTGTTTAACCAGCAGGGGTATGAAGAGGATAAAAGAAGAAAAACAGGGGGAGTCTAAGGATTTCCACAGGCATTTGGAGGACAAACTCTTTTCCCTGGGGGAAAGAAGCATGAGTGCAAAAGTACAAACAGGGTAAAGATGCGTCAAATCTAAAGGGTAAATATTTCAAATATGTGATTTTAAGAGCTTACATCCCATTTTCAAAAGAGACATAAGCACTTAGGAGCTCTCATTGAAAGTGCATGGGACACAGGCTCTTAAATCATGTAGACATTTTATCCACCATCTCCTTTTGTTGTATTCTCAAAGTTAATATTTCTCTACACTTCAGTATCTAGACCAGTGGTTATCAACCAGGGGTGCATGTATATTATACACTGAAATGTATGTACAATATTTATATTTCACTTGATTTCTTTTATAATTATATGGTAAAAATGAGAAAGTAAGCATTTTTTCAGTAATAGTGTGCTGGAACACTTTTGTATTTCTTATGTCTGAGTTTGTAAGCAAGTCATTTTTAGGTGCGGCGAAACTTGGGGCTATACAAGATAATCAGACTCCTGAAAGGGGTACAGTAGCCTGGAAAGGTTGAGAGCCACTGATCTAGACAATTCAATGGTTAAAATATCAGTGGCATTTGAACCTTGTCTACTCCTTGCAATCCTGCTTCACCCAAGGTGAGAAATTAAATAAGAAAAAATCTGGTATAGACAAAACCTGGAATTGTAGAAGTCCAAACAATTTACCTGTTGAATTTTGTTCCCCCAAAGACTTCTTGGGTGAGTTAACCCCTCAGGAAGTAGTAGTGCTCACTGTCTTTTAATGCTCTTATTCCTGTAACTGATCCGGTGTGCTTTCTCACCTTATTGTAGGGGGTGCATTCGTTTTTACAGTGGTTCACTCCATTTTCATCCCATTCCCAATCTGTCATCCAGTTGCGGATGCAGGTGGAGTCATTTTTACATGCTGCATACCTGCATGGAAGTTAGTGGGGAACAGAAAGTAAAATCATTTACCTCCTTGTTTTTCAGCGATGTCACTGTATTACACTGATGTCACACAAAGAAGGACGCATGGGTTCTGCTAATAATACTCTGTGCTTACATAGCACTTTTCCTCCAGTGATCTCAAAGACATGAACATATTATCTCCTTTTTACTGTAGGGAAACTGAGGCAAATTCCATCACTGATCCATGGACTTTCTGCTTTCTTATACCCAGCATCTACAAGGACCCAAAATTGGACAGCAGCAGCCATGTGGGGCAGGCACCCCAAGGACAGACCATGATCAGAGAGAAGTAGGGAATTTTTATATTTACAAAAGGAAAGGAGCTAATAATGCCAGTTTGAAAGGTGCTGTAAAGAGTCTGTAAAGCCTCTGAGAGTCAGCGGCTGGGACTGGACAATGCGGATGGATCACCCCATAATTGCTCTGTTTTGTTCATTCCCTCTGAAGCCTCTGGCACCGGCCACTGTCAGAAGACAGGATACTGGATGGACCATTGGTCTGACCCAGTGTGGCCGTTCTTATGTTCTAAAGAAAGGGGGAAAGCAATCCACTAATGAGCAACTAAATAAGATCATATAAAAATAGTCCATGAGCCCAGGTTCATTATTTCTAGGGGGTTGAAGCTAGGGGCAGAAGAGAAGAATGTTAAAGGAGCCCAGAGGACTATGGTTTCGTAGGAACTGTTTTAAATGACAATTAAATAAAAAAAGCAGGTAAATTAATTGTAATCATCAAGTATTGTAAACTGTTAGCCTACATAAGGAAAAAGTAACTTATTACTGTTACCCTCATGCTTCCTCCCTCTCCTATTGTTACATTCACGTATTGGGCCTTATCTTCCCTAAAGCCCATATTTTGCAAACACTTACACACCAGCGTACCTCTGTGTGTCTGAGGCCTGGTCTATACTACAGAGTTATGTCGACGTAAGGCAGCTTACATTGACCTAACTCTGTAAGTGTCTACACTAAAGTGTAGCTCCCACTGATGTAACTTGTCCACTACACAAACTTAATAACTCCACCTCCGCAAGAGGCATAGCACTTAGGTCAATGTAGTGTTGCTTACAGCGACTATTGCGGCCTTTCAGAAGCCATCCCACAACAACAGTTAAATTGGCACAAGTGCTCCCGGTGAGGACACACACTGCCAACACAAGAAGCGTAGTGTGGACATGCAAAAGCGATTTACTTAGTGCGGTGGCTATGCAGCACTGTAACTTAGGTCATCTTAATTTGTAGTATAGACTTGCCCTAAGTAGTCTCAAAGATTTCAATGGAATTACCCATCTGAGTAACCCCAAGAATTCCAAAATCATGAGCCAGGGCCAGAAAAATCAAGATTGGCTTAAAATCATGCAAATTTTTAAAAATAAGAGGTTTGGTTTTTTCTTTTTTCAATTTTCTTTCTGTTTTTGAATCTTCAGGGTACACTCAAGTCCCATTTTCAAGGTTTTCTCTGCAACCATGAAGGCTAGAAACTTAATTTTCTTTTAATGAAAGCTGAGATTCTCATATACTCACACGACTCCAGAAGTTGGGGCAAGACTCAAAATCAAATTGCAAAAGTCGGCACTATTGTACACACAAAGTTAAGCGCTAGTTTGTAAGCTCTTTAGGGCAAGGACTATCGCTACTCATGGATTTGTACAGCAACTCACACAATGGGGCCACAATCCTTACTAGGATTTTAGGTGCTGGTGTATTATAAATAATAACAACAATGCATGCACATCCAAATTTAGCCCTTAGTCTTTGAAAACTTAGGAGTGAACAAAGCTATTTTAAACTTGTTTTCTATACAATGTGTGCAACAAGCTGAAAATACTTTTGTCTCACATTTTCACATTCAGTCAGTTTCAACAGCCAAGCTTTTATGATGCAGTAATCACCTGGTAGTGCTGGAGTGGACTTTTGATACCAGGAATGCAGCTCTCAGTAGTGATACAATTACATGTTAAACTTTAAATTGTACGAGTTCAACTTTTAAAGGATAGCCTTTGGCGAACTCTGAGCAGAACAATCTAGGAAATGTGTTGTCCAAAGTCCTGTGTTGCTTTGTTGATAACAAGTCTCTCTCCAGTTCGAAAAAGGACTCAAATCTGTTTCCATCATACCACCTTGTGAGGGTAACAGCAAGCACAGATGGAGGATAAACGAGATCCAAACAGAGCAACAACTGGGTGGTAGAATGGGATAGTCCCAAGCCTGCCCGCATGTGAATCTGCTGCTGGACTTTGGGGCCCTGTTGGGAGTGCAGGTCATAGATTCGCCAATTCTTATGATCCAGCCTTAATATGCCACTGACAAGCAGGCTTGGCCAGTGCCATTGTGCTGCTGTGTCTGGCGCTGGTACAGCTATCAACATCAGAGCTTAGCAATTAGGCTCCAATTCAGCACAAGCTTAACTTTAAGCATGTGCTTAAATCCTTCCCTCTTCAGCAAAGAACTTATAAACATGTGCTTAGGAGTGTTGCTGAATAGGGGGCTTGATGCTGTACACCTGGTTTCCACAGGAACCTGAATTAATCACTATTTGTAGGTTTCAGAGTAACAGCCGTGTTAGGCTGTATTTGCAAAAAGAAAAGGAGGACTTGTGGCACCTTAGAGACTAACCAATTTATTTGAGCATGAGCTTTCGTGAGCTACAGCTCACTTCATCGGATGCATACCGTGGAAACTGCAGCAGACTTTATATACACACAGAGATCATGAAACAATACCTCATGCTCAGATAAATTGGTTAGTCTCTAAGGTGCCACAAGTACTCCTTTTCTTTTCACTATTTGTATTTATCATCTATATGCAGGGTCCTCCGGTCAAGATCAGTGCCCCATTGTGCTGAGTGCAATACATACATATAGGAAGAGACAGTCCCTGTTTTTATAGGCTTTTTTTTAAGTCTCAAGGGGGAGCCAATTATGGGGGGCAAAATTATGCAAGATCATGACATCTGAAGGGATTCATGCTGTCCAGAAACCCATGCATGGCTCCTTGAGCCATTAAAAAAGGCTTGCAAAAACCACAAATGCAAACTTGAAAGCCCCTCACACCAGCCAGCAGGCACCCAAAGGCTATGGCTACACTGTAAAGGTAAAGGTCGAGGTAAATTATGTCGCTCAGGGGTGGGAATTAGTCACTCCCCCTGAGCAACATAATTTGTGCTGATTTAGCGCTGTCCACACCGCGCTTATCTCAGTGCGAGAGCTTCCCCTGCTGACATAGCTACCGCTGCTCGCAGGGGCTGAAGTAGTTAAGCCGATGAAGAGCTCTCTCCCATTGGCTTAGAGCGACTAGACAGAGAGCTTATGGCAGCGCAGCTGTGCTGCTGTAAATTCTCTAATGAGCCGAAGAATAATCTGCTTTTCGCACGGCAGGTTACTTCACTGCTAGGTATTTTTATTTTGGAGCTAATTCTTATTTGAATATTCAGGATTATTTTTCAGAATTCATGCTTTCCCTTCAGATGGGCAGGGGCCCATTTTGCAGATGGGTCAGAAAGAAAGCTGCCCACAGGGCTCTTCACAGTTCATAGGGACTTTCAAAGAGAACCATTTTAATGCTGATGAGAGCAGGAAATCCTAAAACAATAGGAAGAAAGGGGAAGGCTCCAGGCTAGTCAGATGATTTCTTTTAAATGAAATCACTGCTTTCTCAGAATTTTATGCACATTTCTGGCCACAAAGACTTCAGTATGCAGCAGGCACATTCAGAGCCCATGGAGAAAGTAGGTCAATTCCCCAGGAGCGCTGCAGCATACTGAAAGGACTCCCATGAGCACAATGTGGAAAATCTTGGAAATGCTACTTTGGAATGTCAAGGAGAGCGGGAATTTTGTCCAAAATACCTTTTTAGTCTCTGGCCTTGGGTGGGACGAGAGAATGGGAATGACACTGAAAGATGTCAGACACATGCCCATGCATATAATATATTATCATTTGTATATCTGTGTCCTACGCCACGTGTATATGACACCAACTAGAGTACCAGATGAGTGGGATGCATAAGAAATGGGATGGAAAGTAATACTGCAGATAGATAAGTAGTACTTATTTGTTAATAGCAGAGCTCACTATCTTCTTGATGCTTTCCAGACATTCAAGAAGAGACAGACCTTGTCCCGAGGAGCTCACAGTCTAGCATAATACATAAACTCCCAGACCAAAATGGTCTTTTCTTCAAGGTTACAAAACATGATTTACCAGCTGGTTCTGTTTATATTCAGCTAAACCATGTGAGGAAAACGGGAGTGCTTTGTAACATCACGCAAACCCATAATATACATTACAGACCTAATTCTCATTTACACTAAGGCTGCCTTCCACCACCCTGGGCAATGGAAAAGGGGCCTTAAAATATGCATAAGCTACATGCAAGGCCTACAGACAGCCCCGCAACCTGAAGCAAATACTCACCAACAACCACATACCACACAACAGAACCACTAACCCAGGAACTTATCCTTGCAACAAAGCCCGTTGCCAATTGTGCCCACATATCTATTCAGGGGACACCATCACAGGGCCTAATAACATCAGCCACACTATCAGAGGCTCGTTCACCTGCACATCCACCAATGTGATATATGCCATCATGTGCCAGCAATGCCCCTCTGCCATTTACATTGGTCAAACTGGACAGTCTCTACGTAAAAGAATAAATGGACACAAATCAGATGTCAAGAATTATAACATTCATAAACCAGTCGGAGAACACTTCAATCTCTCTGGTCACGCAATCACAGACATGAAGGTCGCTATCTTAAAACAAAAAAACTTCAAATCCAGACTCCAGCGAGAAACTGCTGAATTGGAATTCATTTGCAAATTGGTACTATTAATTTAGGCTTAAATAGAGACTGGGAGTGGCTAAGTCATTATGCAAGGTAGCCTATTTCCCCTTGTTTTTTCCTACCCCACCCCAGATGTTCTGGTTTAACTTGGATTTAAACTTGGAGAGTGGTCAGTTTGGATGAGCTATTACCAGCAGGAGAGTGAGTTTGTGTGTGTATGGGGGTGTGGGGGGTGTGTGAGAAAACCTGGATTTGTGCTGGACATGGCCCACCTTGATTATCATGCACATTGTAGGGAGAGTGGTCACTTTGGATGAGCTATTACCAGCAGGATAGTGAGTTTGTGTGTGTGGTTTTTGGGAGGGGGGTGAGGGGGTGAGAGAACCTGGATTTGTGCAGGAAATGGCCCAACTTGATTATCATGCACATTGTGTAAAGAGTTGTCACTTTGGATGGGCTAGCACCAGCAGGAGAGTGAATTTATGTGGGGGGGTGGAGGGTGAGAAAACCTGGATTTGTGCTGGAAATGGCCCAACCTGATGATCACTTTAGATAAGCTATTACCAGCAGGACAGTGGGGTGGGAGGAGGTATTGTTTCATATTCTCTGTGTGTATATAAAGTCTGCTGCAGTTTCCACGGTATGCATCCGATGAAGTGAGCTGTAGCTCACGAAAGCTCATGCTCAAATAAATTGGTTAGTCTCTAAGGTGCCACAAGTACTCCTTTTCTTCCAGCAAAATGGAATTTTCTACAACAGGATAAACGTCATCAGTGGAACACACAAGCTTTATCCTTCTTCGACCTGCCTTCTCTAGCTTAGACACAGAGCAGAGTGGACATAGTTTAAAAAAAACAACCCACCTCATCCAGTGCACTAAATACCCCACTAACAACTACTGGATGAAACGAAACAATCACTATGCTCTCAAATGAACTCACACAGAAAAACAATAAAAACACCATATCGGCCACGGCTGAACACTTTTCACAGTGATCACTCTCTACCTGGCTTATCAGTCCTCATCCTCAAAGGAAACCTCCATACACCTTCAAAAGATGAGCCTAGGAGTTTAAGTTCTTACCTAGATCCTATAAATCTGAATAGAGACTGAATAGAGATCGGAGTGCTGGAACAATTTTTATAGTGGAGGTGCTGAGAGCCATTGAACCAAACTGTAAACCCTGTATATCATGGAAACCACTTCAAGCCAGGGGGTGTGGCAGCCCCCCCATCACCTCTAGTTCCAGCACCTATGATAGAGATACTGGATTTATGGCTTATTACAACAATTGATAACCTACTGAACCTCATCCCCAGCTTTTTTTTCCCCTTTTCCCCCTATGACTGGACAGATGTTTAAGGGGCACTTCACCTTCAGTGCTCCCTTGAAATGTGTTAACTACTTAGGCTAAACAATCTGTTCCATCTTGTATTTATCTGTGATTCTCTGAGTACATTTCCCAGACTTGAGACGCTCTGTGTAAGGTTGAAAGTTTGTCTCTTTCACCAACAGAAGTTGGTCCAATAAAATATATTGTCTCACCCACCTTGTCTCTCACAGATTTGAATGGAAGACAGGTGTCTAAATCCTCTAGACTGCTCTGAACAGCTCAACCATTATTTGTGCTACATTTCACATCATTTTCCCAGTAAAGCCAAATTTCTCAAGTTACCATGCCCAAGCCTAAAAGTAACAGAGAAAATAGATCAAATGCATTTTTCCAGCTCCTATACGTGCTCTATCTAACGTAACTTTGCTAAACACCAAGGTTTCATGATTAAAGATCTACATTTCACAACTCTCTGTACCTATAAATAGATGCTGGATCTGAATCACTAGAAAATCAGAATTCTCACTTCTCCGGTGGGATACAAGATGTCTAGACCTGATGATTTGCAAGGTATTGGGCTTAAAACTATCCCACCACATGCCTTGTATCTCAAAAAGTAATTTTCACTGCCTGCTTTTATCTGAGTTGTATTTGGGGGAAGAAAAAATTAACTATTTTGGGGTTAGATCATTATAATTTTTATTAAATGACAGCTGTCTGAAAACTGTTCTGAAATATGGAGTATTAGAAGTAGTTTAAGCAGAAATGGATTTGTAGACAGAAAGCAGGTGAAGAGGCAGAAGGTTAAAATTAAATTTATTACATAAATGAATTTGTTAGTTTATTCCATGATTCCACAGCGTAGTTAATAGATACAGAAATAAAAGAAGTGTATCAATATCACGGGCACATATTTAGATAATATATGTGATTATGCTGCTCACATAATTTGTATTTTCAAAACCATGATACAAACTGACTTTATATTAGACTTGGAGATGTCACTGAGAATGTTATTATTTACAGGGTAATAAATTCAAAGGGGAAAAATTAGAGGTATAGAAAAAAAAGAGAGAAGTTGAACAAAAGAAGGGAGATAAATGATGCAGAGTGCTATCAAATTTTGTTGCCACTTGTTTGGGAAGGTCATTATTTGCACATTTGTGGCTACCTCTTACACAGGTAATGCAGGTATCTCAAATATAACTAAAAATATGAGCAGTGTAAAGTGTTAAACCTACCAGTCATCACAGAAGTTTTGGCACAAAGGAACAAACTCAATACCAGCAGTGTTGTTGGGATTGATCCAGTGAGCGGCATGCGGCGAACACCGGTAAAAACATTCGATTTTCTTCATGTAATCCTCGCAGCTACATTGAGTGAGAAAAACAACAATTAAGTCTGCTTCTCAGCATCCAAGATTATAGTCCACACTTTCCAACAGGTTTCGACAGCACCCATCACTATAGATTAGATGGAGCAATTTAAATCCATCCTCTTGTCCTATTTGTGTATAGATTCTAAACTTATTCCTTTGTTGTTGTGTGCAGGTTTTGCCTGTGAAATTACTGGAACTGGACAAATCATGCAAAAAAGGTCTTGAATATTCACTCTAATTTTTAAATGAATTAATTAGTCATGTTTGGGCCCCTTTTGTATTTGCTTTATATAAACATTTGAGCTACTGAGTTTTTGCTGGCACGAAATGGTCAAGTTCAAAGCAATAATAAAATGTAGCATCAAACCACAGCATAAAGCTTTGTTTCTGTGTTATACTCTCATGATTTCACCAGTATTTAGATTTTCTCTAGTCCAGCTGAAGTTACTGAAAAACCACATATTGTAGTTGTTCTCCTGGGAGTGGCAGGCAATAGCTATTACTTTTGCAAATATGTTTTTGCTTAATTGTTTTGCACTTTCATTCTTTTATTTGTGTAGCCTGACATATTTGACAACTCTCAAAATCTAGCAATGAACTATAAACCTCAATTAGGAAAACATTTTTTATGGTTACAAAGCTCACAAGACTACAAGAATTTTTCTCATTATTTGCAAGTTTCCTTTCTGGCTTCCCTTTTACATTTTGTTTTTTAAGACTTAATCTAATTTATCTGTTTGTTTAAACAAGGGACAAGGCCCTGTCGATACAAATTATGGGCTAGATTCAATGGTATGCTCCGGCTGCTACAGAAGTACAAAGCAGGCATGGTTGTAAATATGGCTTAACCAGCCAGGTAAACCAGGTTTACTACTGGTTTGCATTGCCAGATTATTGCACACCAGAGAGCATTTTTTAAAAGAGCAGGTCTTAAGAGCAGTCACTCCTCTTCTGAAATGGCAGAAGCCACTCTGCCTGAATAAAATGTGATTAAGGCTCCATGGATTTTGGGTGAGGAGAGAAGGAGCAGAGAGGAGCTGCGCAGACAAGGGGCCAAGATGGGGGCAGCCACTTTAGGTAACATCTCCAGAAAAACATATGGAGTTTCCATCAGAAATTCCAGGGGGAGTTAATGTTGGCAGTTTCAGCTATTGTGGAATAGTCCTATTGCACCAAGACATAGACAATATCAAAGCTGACTTACGATTTACTGAGAATCCCACATCTGTTCCAGTAGCTGTTGCTTACTTGAATTACTGGTGAATGAGCCAACTGCTCTGTGAAGTTTGCATAACAACAGGAAGCTATTGGAAATAAAACAAAGAGACTACAATGAGGGTTTACTTTAACACTCAAAATTTGGAAAACTCAATTTAGAAAAAAGAACAGGAGTACTTAATGAATCTTTTGGGCACATAATCCAAAATGGTAACAACTGGGAGGGAAGCTTTACAAAAGAAAGACTTTCTACGACTTGTAAGTGAATGATCTTGGAAATGATAATGTGACCACTGATTAAGTGGGATTGAACTGGCATCAATATTGTTTTGTGAGAATGTATTCAGTCAGTGCCAAGAAACTAAGTGGTGTTTAACCAGCTGTCATATGCTGGAGGAGTGAAATTTCTGAACTCCAGCCTTTTAATATAGAAGTTATCAAATAAAGAAGAAAAAAGATGACATGCAGTGAATATTGGTTTTATTCTTACATTTATATCCAGTACAGCATTTTAATTTTCAGTGTTTTCATACTTTTTCTGACAGTCTCTACTCTTAATCAGGCCAGAAACTTAATTAGGACAATAATTTGTGCACTGGTACATCACAATCAAGATGATTATGCTGTATTTTAAATATTCTCATACTTAATCCCATCAGGCCCAAGTCATCCCTAGTGCAAGCTTAAGTAAATGGAGTACAACAGGATGAAATCTGGATCATACATTTTTGAAGTTCAGTTACTGAAGCCAATAGTTTTGCAACTGGTCTCAAGGAGGGCGGTATCTGGCTCTGCATTTGGAACTGGATGTAGTAAGGAAAAAGCCAATAAAAGTTGCTTTTCAAACAAAACTCCTATTGTAAATATTGCACAGTGTTAAAGTAACTAAAAGTATGCTAGGGACTGTTAGTCGATACAAAGGTCAACTTTTAAACTATTCTAAATTCTATGCCAAAGATTAAACAGCTCTTACATTCAAAGTACAGTGTGCATTCATGGATGTCCGGCTCAGGGCTTGGTCTGTGCTTGTGAGTTCCCCCCTCCAGACATCTATCCCATTTGCAGGTAGATGTTGCTAGGATAGCAAAAAATAGGACTACAGCAAACTTGAACATCTTCATTCTGCACTTGCCCTGTAAGGAAATAGACATTTCAGTGAGGTCCTTTATCTCTGAGAAAAGTCTGGTATGAAATTTCCGCTCGATTATAAAACTAATAGGAAGGACTGTTTAGAAAAGGAGAAAAATTAAAAAGTGCTAAGCAAAGATGGACAGACAAGTATTTATACGTGTATTTGTCCCCTTTCTCTTTCACAGTATCTTAATATTATTAACAGCCAAGATTTTTAAGCCAAGAGGGACAAATGACTGAGATCAAGAACCTCAGGCACTGAATCTTAACACAGCTTGAAATTCATGGGAACATACACATTGTCATATTACATCAGGCTAGAGGTCTCTCTGGTTCAGTAGCCTATTTGGGACAGTGGCTGGCACTAGCTGCTTCACAAGACAGTGGAATAATGATAATACCTATTTCTTATACAGCACTTTTCATTGATAGATCTCAAAGCACTTTATCCTCACGAGACTATTGTGAGATAGGGAAGTATGAGTATCACCATTTTATAGGTGGGGAACTGCACCACAGAGGCAAAATGACTTACCCAAGGTCGATAATCTCTATACGGTCTTTATTTTGTATACCTCTATCTTGTCCCCTCTTATTTATCTCCTCATAAACGAAATAGTCCGAATCTTTTCAATCTTTTTTCATATGAAGAAAAGGAGTACTTGTGGCACCTTAGAGACTAACCAATTTATTTGAGCATGAGCTTTCGTGAGCTACAGCTCACTTCATCGGATGCATACCGTGGAAACTGCAGCAGACTTTATATATACACAGAGAATATGAAACAATACCTCCTCCCACCCCACTGTCCTGCTGGTAATAGCTTATCTATAGATAAGAGGAGGTATTGTTTCATATTCTCTGTGTATATATAAAGTCTGCTGCAGTTTCCACGGTATGCATCCGATGAAGTGAGCTGTAGCTCACGAAAGCTCATGCTCAAATAAATTGGTTAGTCTCTAAGGTGCCACAAGTACTCCTTTTCTTTTTGCGAATACAGACTAACACGGCTGTTACTCTGAAACCTGTCTTTTTTAATATGGAAGTTTTTCCAGACCTCTCTAATCATTCTTGCTGCTCGTTTCTAATCCCTTGATATTTCTGCTACATCCTTTTTGAGATACAGTGGCTAGAACTGAAAGCAAAATTTCAGGAAAGCTCAGACTATTGATTTATATAATGGAATTATAATATTTGCCATATTGTTTTCCGTTCCGTATACATCCTAACAGTTTTGTTTGCTTTTTTAACTTCTGGTGCACACTGAGCATAGATTTTCCGTGAGCTATCCACAGTGATGACTGGGGATAACATTTTCAAAAGCACCTCAGTGACTGAGAACCCTAATTCCCTAAATCATTTTTTAAAGTGGGACTTAGCTCCTAAGTCACTCTGGCTTTCTTAAAATTTTACCTCGGGTCTTTTTTCCTTATGTTTTTTCAGTTAATTTATAACCTCATAAAGTGTACAGATTAGGCAAAAATATTATTGTGATAATTTAGATACAAGCTGTAGATTAAAAAAATATAAATCATGTAGAGCAAAGTTAGTTCTAAATAGTTAATTAAAAAAAACCCAATAAATGATTTCAGGTCTCCTATAGATACACTGGTGTAAATTTATCATGGTGTAACTCCAGTGACTTCACTGGCTTTGCAGCATGGATTAATTTGTTCCATAAATTTCAGGTTTTTGTTGCATCCTGTAGAAAATTATGCTTTTCACACAGTTACAGGTGAACTCATTCTAATGGCTTTTAAGACAATGAGCCAGATCCTCAGCCAGTGTAAACTGATGTTGCCTCCTTGACTTCAGTGGGGCTCTGCTGATTTACAAAAGCTGAGGATCTGGCCCAATATTTTCTGCATCTTCGACAGATGATGAATCCAAAAATTAAAAAATAAAAATAACTGTCTGATTTATGTAAATCTAGACCCTTCCATATAAACCACATCATAATTATTTGTGCATATTATGAAAAATAACCTGCAATCCTTAGGGAAAACTCCCCATGAACTTTATTGGAGAGTTTTGCCTGAGTAAGGACTGCAGGATCAGTCCCTATATTACCTTTCAGTATAAAGAAATCAAAATATTACAGGAAAATAACAATAACAATTGTCTCTGCAATTTGAGTGCTGTTTTCTCACCTCTTCTGCTGTCTCTCTGATTGTTACCTCTTCCCCACACTGGAAAACAGTAAGTAGCTTTGAACCTCTCTTCTCTCTATATATCACCTAGTATCAATGCCCCAGAGTTTGTTTGCCTCAGGAGAGTTCCTTGACTCTTTGGAAAGCTAACAGGTTTATCTCAGGAACACACACAATCAGTACACAAACTGACCTGCTTATAATAGTCATTTATTGCTTGCAGATCACTAATGGTGAACAAGAAAATACAGGTACAATAGATAGGGTTTTTAAAAATAAGCAAAAAACCCAAAACTAAAAGCAATACCCCCTCCCACCAAAATTCACCAAGAGTTCTAGAAGAGATAGAAACCTTTCTTGCCTGATAGTATAAACCAGTCTTGAACTAATGGGGGTTTGGAAGAAATATCCTCTATGAGCAGGTTATTCCCTATCTATCTACAGCAGGGTTTCTTGCACCTTCCTTTGAAGCATCCGATACTAGCCATTGTTAGAGACAGGATACTAAGCTGCATGGATCACCGGTTTGATCTAATATGACAATTCCTATGTTCTTATTTATTACTTATTATGATTATTTGTATTGCAGTGGATCAGGACCCCACTGTATTATATCCATAAAACAACCACTGTCTTGCTTTTAACGGGCGTTCTGCAGAAAGTAGTTATGATAAGCTTAACTTTAACTATGGATAGGAACATTTTCAAGCAGATGCTCAGTAGCATGCTAGAGCCCTGTATCACCATTTGGCACATCAAAGGAGACACACAAGGTATGTGTAGCAGTCCCGTGTGCGTATTTTGGGTTGCAGATGTTGCGGCAGCAATCAGCACAGAAGGGGTTAGGAAACTTTCAGCCAAATTCAGACATTGCCTAAACAGGTTGGCTTTGGTAGTATTTTAAACCCACCTTGTACTCAGTTTGCATGGATGTAAATGACTACACAAGGTGCAAGGCAGTTGAGAGTAGGGGCTGATTTAATTTGTGGATTAATAGAGTTCAAGGCAGAAGGGACCATTAGATCATCCAGTCTGATCTCATGTATAACACAGGGCTACAGGATTTCACCCAGTTACCTCTTCACTGAGCTCAATAATTTGGCTATGTCTACACTAGCACTTTTATCGGTAAAACTTTTGCCAGTCAGGAGTGTGAAAAAAAACCACCCTGACCAACAAAAGTTTGCTGACAAAAGCGCCGGTGTAGACAGTGGTATGTTGGTGGGAGATGCTCTCCCACCAACATAGCTACTGCCGCTCATGGGGGTTGTTTAATTTTACTGATGGGAGAACACTGTAGTGGTACGGCAGGGCCGCTGTAAGGTCTGTAGTGTAGACACAGCCTTTGTGTTTGGTTAAAGCATATCTTCCAGAAAAGCTTCCAATCTTGATCTGGAGACATCAAAAGATGAATGACCACTTTCCTGGTAGTTTGTTCTAGGGTGACCAGATGTCCTGATTTTATAGGGACAGTCCCGATATTCTGGGCTTTGTCTTATTTAGGCACCTATTGACCCCCATCCACTGTCCTGATTTTTCAAACTTACTAGCTGGTCACCCTAGTTTGTTCCAACTGTTAACTACCTTCACTGTTAAAATTTTGAGCCTTATTTCCAGTCTGAATTCGTCTGGCTTTAATTTCTGGCCATGGTTTTTTGTTTATGCTTTTCTCTGCTTGACTGAAGAGCTCTTCAGTATCTGATATTTTTCTCACTGTGAAGATACTTATACACTGTATTCAAGTTACCTCAGTCTTCTTTTTGATAAACTAAACAGAGGTTAGCTCTTTAAATCTCTCACTATAAGGCATTTATTGCAGCCCTCAAATAATTTTTGTGCCTCTGTTTGAAACCCTTTCCAATTTTTTCAACATCCTCTTTAACAGCAGAATTGTACATTGTATTCCAGGATCAGTCTCACTAATGCTGTGCACAGAAGTAAAGTCACTTCCCTAATTTGACTGTTTATACAAGGATTTGTATTAGCCCTTTTTGTCACAGCATCACACTAGGAGGTCCTGTTCAATTGCCTGTCCACTATGACACTTAAATCCTTTTCAGAGTCACAGTCACTGCTTTCCAGGATACAATCCCCCATTCTGTTGGTGTGGCCTAGCTTATTGATACACTAATTGCTCCTTAGAAACCATTTCATTTTATCCACTTAGGAGCAACTAATTTCATTTTATCAACTAATTTTTTTGAATAGAGGAAAAAATAGTTACAGTTTATGCACAGTAGCTACTAGTTAGAACTATCACATTAAAACTAGAAAGTGATTAGTCTACATTATAAAACAATCACTTACACATTTTCACATAAAATAAATCCATTTTAGAGTTGTAGTCAAAATAGCATTTAAGGATTTTTTTACTCCTACAACATAAATTGGCAAACTGATATGAACTAAATAGAAAGAAAATAGTTGTTTCTGGCTTGATACTTTATACCATATGTCAAGCTTCAACATGGTGCAGTTTTTTTTACAGCTGAGTTCAAAAGCTCTGAAAATAAAGGCTCTTAATGACAATACTAATGGATTTTTATGTACAGCAACATTGAGCATGGCAATCAGTAATATTGGTTGAAAATAAGAATACTTCACACTTCTCTAGCACCACCTATTTTAGGATCTCAGGGCACTTCACCAAATGTCATTAATTAAACCTAATACCTTTCTGAGGTGGATAAGTACTATTATCAGCATTCTATACATAGGAAAACTGAGGCCCAGCCCAGAGGATTAAACTCAGCTCTTGTGTCAGTGGGCAAAATTCCACAGATTCATCTCCAATACATTCAGCTTACTCCATGACTGAAATTGCCCAAGAAAGAAAAACAGACTTGCTTAAG